ACAATATCGAACACGGAATTAATTCCGGAACTATCTACTCAACCAATTCATAATGCAATACCCGCACACTGCGTCAGTGATGGAACTCCGCTACCCGATCAACATGCAGAGACCACTCAATCACAGGCTTAGATTTAGTTAGAGGCCGCTCTCCACAATGGCCAACTCCCTCATCGCATTAACTGGACGATGGTAGGCCGAACGTGCACCGCGAATGCACATTATGGCTGCCCTGAGCAAAGCGAAGGACAAGCGACACCGCACATAGGCCATTAGCTGGGCATACGGTCGATCGGCAGTTGCCAGCAATGCACACAACCGCTTAATGAATGCAGTACACTCCGGAGCACAACAACCCGCCGTGGTAAAGACTAGAGGGGTAAATGAACCACGGTCGACATTGTTGATACGCTCGGCATACTCACTCTTCTTGCGGCGCTCATGTTGCTTCAGAAGATCACTGACGGGCTTGCTCTTGTATGATGCTGCATCCGGGTGGAAGACCCGGACATCGAAGAACGCATTCTGAGCCCGGGTCCAGAACCCACGAGCTCGGACATCAGCCCGGGCGTCGTTCGCGGTGTTTGTTGATGCCGATAAAAACACCTCGCCTGTGATCGGAGCAAGTACAGGCTCGACTGCCACATCTGAGCATACCTCCGTCAGAAGATCCGCCACGATATCTCTTACTTCATTGTGGCGAATTGTCGGGAAACCTCCGCGGGGGCAAATCATCGCATGCGTGGCGTCGAACGGCTCCCCACACACACAGCTCGCTGGTGTGTCCAAGAGAGACCAACCATAGCGGAGAGCTAGAGCGTCGCGGAAGTCTCCCTTGGACAGATGGTGACCATGGTCTGCCAGAGGCAATACCCCGAGCCAACTCGACACACCTTTCGTGGATAAACTCTCCAGCCGACGAGCCAGGGCAGGGGACGCACTGCTCTTGATCGTGACGAAATCATTCTGCTCCCTCTGACGACGGTCATGCGCTAGCCGTGTCTTCTCGCTTAGGGCTGCCTGGCGAACATCCTCCGTGGAGCTATGGGTGTATTGATCATTCTGGTGTACAATCTCCTCCACCTGAAGGGCCGTTACAGCTCTCGACGCAGGGAGCTCTGCCGTACCCATTTGCTGAAAACACGGCAGGGCCATCCCCCCCAGTCGACAGGGCAGGCGGAGAAGGTTCAATTCTTCTGGTAGGAAGGAATCACGGCCCGCTAGAGCAGGTAGAAGCTCCTCTGTGATCACCTTGTCAAGGTCGGTAAGGCATTGTGCAGGGAAAGGTACTGTACGCAATAGGTAGGTCCACCTACCACGTAAACCATGAGATATTGCAGCATAGGCAGCATGTGGCTCCGTTTTTGCAATCTCTGTAAGCTTCTTCAGCTCTTCCTTCCACTTCGCCACCCGTTGCTGCACACTTTCCGCGACCGCCTCTTCCGATCCAATCTCGGAGCCGAGATAACGCAAGCTCCCCGTGACAATCCGGATCCCTGTCTCGGCAAACACTTGGCGTGCTTCCTGCTCCAGCTCTGGCTTGACAAGGAGCTGGGTCTTTTCGGAGTTCGTGAAGTATCCGTATCGCCGTCCAATTGCCTGCAGCTCGTCCCACCACAACCGGATCTGTCTCAGCCTACCTGCTCCGCTGGAATCATCCGCATACCAGCTCTGCCGGACTGATGTGTGCTGCTCCTGGAGACGAGTGATGATCGGTATGGTGGCAACTGCGTAAAAGGCCATGGAGAGGGGGTCGCCCTGAGTGGTTCCCTCACTCGACTTGACTTCCCCTCCACCTGCAACAAATAAACGTGCAGCCGTTTGATAGGAGTTCGTGATGACGCTGGAGAGGGCAGGACATAGCCGCTGGACATTGTGTAGCGCCGCTTCTCTGTTCAAGCTGTTAAATGCATTGCGAGCATCCACCAACAGCACTCCATCTGTCTCCTCGTCATTGTAAATCTGCTGCACCGCATGCACAGCCGCCTCTATTCCAGCTGGTTGGCCCGCACACTTCTGGATAAATCCGCAGGCTTTCTCAATATCCGGGGCTGCGACACGAAGTACCGCCTTAGCAACAATGCGCCTCAGCACCTCGCCAACCCCGATTGGGCGGACCCCAGGCTTCTTGTCCAGTGCAATTAGCCGACCAGCAAGAAATGGAATGAGGCCCTCCGATGGTATGACACGCACTCTACTCAGTATCATTACCCACTCTACTCAGTATCATTACCCACTCTACTCAGTATCATTACCCACTCTACTCAGTATCATTACCCACTCTACTCAGTATCATTACCCACTCTACTCAGTATCATTACCCACTCTACTCAGTATCATTACCCACTCTACTCAGTATCATTACCCACTCTACTCAGTATCATTACCCACTCTACTCAGTATCATTACCCACTCTACTCAGTATCATTACCCACTCTACTCAGTATCATTACCCACTCTATTCAGTATCATTACCCACTCTACTCAGTATCATTACCCACTCTACTCAGTATCATTACCCACTCTACTCAGTATCATTACCCACTCTACTCAGTATCATTACCCACTCTACTCAGTATCATTACCCACTCTACTCAGTATCATTACCCACTCTACTCAGTATCATTACCCACTCTACTCAGTATCATTACCCACTCTACTCAGTATCATTACCCACTCTACTCAGTATCATTACCCACTCTACTCAGTATCATTACCCACTCTACTCAGTATCATTACCCACTCTACTCAGTATCATTACCCACTCTACTCAGTATCATTACCCACTCTACTCAGTATCATTACCCACTCTACTCAGTATCATTACCCACTCTACTCAGTATCATTACCCACTCTACTCAGTATCATTACCCACTCTACTCAGTATCATTACCCACTCTACTCAGTATCATTACCCACTCTATTCAGTATCATTACCCACTCTACTCAGTATCATTACCCACTCTACTCAGTATCATTACCCACTCTACTCAGTATCATTACCCACTCTACTCAGTATCATTACCCACTCTACTCAGTATCATTACCCACTCTACTCAGTATCATTACCCACTCTACTCAGTATCATTACCCACTCTACTCAGTATCATTACCCACTCTACTCAGTATCATTACCCACTCTACTCAGTATCATTACCCACTCTACTCAGTATCATTACCCACTCTACTCAGTATCATTACCCACTCTACTCAGTATCATTACCCACTCTACTCAGTATCATTACCCACTCTACTCAGTATCATTACCCACTCTACTCAGTATCATTACCCACTCTACTCAGTATCATTACCCACTCTACTCAGTATCATTACCCACTCTACTCAGTATCATTACCCACTCTACTCAGTATCATTACCCACTCTACTCAGTATTATTACCCACTCTACTCAGTATCATTACCCACTCTACTCAGTATCATTACCCACTCTACTCAGTATCATTACCCACTCTACTCAGTATCATTACCCACTCTACTCAGTATCATTACCCACTCTACTCAGTATCATTACCCACTCTACTCAGTATCATTACCCACTCTACTCAGTATCATTACCCACTCTACTCAGTATCATTACCCACTCTACTCAGTATCATTACCCACTCTACTCAGTATCATTACCCACTCTACTCAGTATCATTACCCACTCTACTCAGTATCATTACCCACTCTATTCAGTATCATTACCCACTCTACTCAGTATCATTACCCACTCTACTCAGTATCATTACCCACTCTATTCAGTATCATTACCCACTCTACTCAGTATCATTACCCACTCTACTCAGTATCATTACCTTCATTGGCCTTTTATACTTTATTTTCCTTTTTAGTCGATACCATGTAATTAGGCAAATTTGCCTGTTTGTTCTTCGACTCTAAATAAACAAACAAACAACAACACGTGACCACTTGTTCAATCATGTTCGATTGGGAATAAAGGAGCAACGCTGCATCGCAGCCTTTGCGGACAAAACCAGCCGACTCAGCGTCCAAAAGACTACAACATATGGGCCAATCGCGGTCATCCGTGCTTTTATAAGAACGAAGTGGCGCTCTTAGTGACATTTTGCATACAAATCCCCATCTTGTAGGGCGCAGTCACCCAGTTTCGGTGGAAGTGCGCGAGTTCGATTGGGATTAAAGTAGGAAGGGAGCGTCTCAGCTTCCTCGGACCACGACCATTCGACTCAGCACCCCGAAGACTACAACTGGTAAAATTTTGATTTTTGCCTTAACTAAAGTAACCTGCCTTAACTAAAGTAATCCAATGTCTGTTCAGCTCGTCCTCCTTATTGCCATATTAATATTGTTGTCTCCTCGTCGAATATTTACATACACATTTGCTCCTCTTTTCCTCTTATGCACACACATCTATGCAACGAATCGTATGAAGCTGAAGTTCTACACCTTGTGAACACTCCTATTATTTTATCATGTGTAGGCATGGGCGGGTAAGGCATGGGCGGGTAATGCGGGTAATGCTAGTTATTTGCTGCGATAATGCTAAAGGCAATGGTCATAATATGAGGATATTATGCCACTTATAATGCTCACACTACTCCATAATGCCAGTTTGAAAGTTGGAAAAGTCGATTTAAGAAGGCCGTCTTGGATCAAGGCCAAAGCGTAGAAGAAGAAAAACTTAAACAGCAGTGAGCATGTTGTCTGAAACAATCCACTGAGAAGATTGATTTGCAACGTCAAGTCTCCGGACGAAGCCGGACGGGTTCAGATGCACGATTTTCGGAACTGGACCTAGCCAGCTTCATGCATGGCACCGTTGTCGACCGGCAAATAGGCTTGTAATGCCAATTTTGCATGCGAAATGGTGTTATAATGCCAGCATTATGCCACCTGAAAATAAGGGACTATATTGCCAGCCATAATGCTAGCATTAGCCGCCCATGCCTAGCGTCTGGCGAACTCTCATACACATGCCTGCTTCCACCTTGAAAACAACAAAAGAGGTATTAAAAAAAATTTAAAATCGAGTTTTGATATTCGAACTCTACATTCTATACGGAAACACACACAAGCCTTGTGCTGGTGACAGTCAGAGGGAAAGCATTCCACACCGTCATCTGGAACCAGAAAATACAGGACATGCAATGCGTAGTAGAAACAGGAGATAGGATATGATTCGACTGTACATATGACATGCAATGCGTAGTAGAAACAGGAGATAGGATATGATTCGACTGTACATATGTCATGCAATGCGAAGTAGAAACAGGAGATAGGATATGATTCGACAGTACATATGTCCGGGTACATGTGTGCTGTGAAATGCAGCCGGGAAAGATCTTGAAAAGTTGGATGACTTCACAATGTCATTAACCTCCCTACTGTGCACACTCATACACTTCGGGGACACTCTTCCGCGTAATGAACACACATCCAAATTTGGAGTACTCGTCGATATTGCAGTAAGGCCAGTCCGATGTCTCCTACACATTCTCTCCTGTTAATAAGGGGAAAATGCAGAAAAAGCAAAAATGAAACATTTTTTGTGGAGACAATCATGAAATCTGTTGCTCGCATGTGCTTGGATAGTGAAGTGTGAGTGAACGGCTGCATGTCCGCAACAATGCTCTGCAGCGAGTGGCTGGTGCGGGATCGACGTGTGGAACAGTGCGTAAGCCCCTCAGCCGGCAGAGACGTCGCCAGTGGCACTAGCGGCATAACTGAACTGTAGTAGTAGTATTTATTCCCGTAGCTATGCAGAAGACGTTACTTCAGTAACGTTTGGCGCTAGCCAGGCTCCACACAGCTTTAATTTGGTATTTGTGTCACGCCTGGCGCTATCCCGTATCTGTCCCGTACCGTACCATCAAACACAGCTGGCCACATACAGCTGGCCGCAATGATTCAAATAGGGCTTTCAAACGCAAGATCATAACGTGAAGCAACTTGGAAGAATGAGTATGAATGCGAAGTGTATGGGGGAATGCATGTAGGGTGATAGTGCGGGTTCGAATCCCAGGTTATGCCTAAAAAATAGGAGAATTGAAAAATTTATAACATCCTTATGCTTTTTTTGCCTAGGTCATCAAGGCGGTAGACGGTGTCGTATTATCCTCGACCGTACCTGTCCCGTACCTGTCCCGTACCTGTCCCGTACCTGCCCCGTACCTGTCCCGTACCTGCCCCGTACCTGCCCCGTACCTGCCCCGTACCTGCCCCGTACCTGCCCCGTACCTGTCCCGTACCTGTCTCGTACTGTACCATCAAGAGTATATGAAAACCAGAGTGTGCAGCTCGGATGGGTTGCTGTCACGGCGAAATTCCGTGATTACATCATTTTAGTGATGTAGTGCGTACAAGCAGGATTCAAGCTGGTCTCTTTCTGCACAACTGCAGCTCAGTTGTACGCACTACGCCATTTCCCGCCTCAGATCTGGGCCAAATATGATGTAATCACGGAATTTCGCCGTGACAGACACCCATAGCAGAAAAGGCCCCAAGCTGCACACTCTGGTTTTCATGTACTCTTGGTACCATCAAAGACGGCTGGCCACAATGCATATTCAAATAGGGCTTTCAAATGCAAGATTATAACGTGAAGCAACTTGGAAGAATTAGTATGTATGCGAAGTGTATCGGGGGATGCATGCAGGGCGATAGTGCGGGTTCGAATCCCAGGTTATGTCTTAAAAAAAAGGAGAAATTTATAAGAATTTATAAAACCTTCACAGATTCCTTCCTATGCTGCTGTATAAATACCATACTAGCTGTGCATCACCGTAATCAGTTGTCTGAAGATTGCTATATGGCATGAAACTTTAAGTTACGACAATCAAGACGCGTGGTTTTCCTGTGACTCGTGTGTTACTGCTCTGCTTCCGCATTGAGCACTCTATCGATCCGGAGGACTTCGCTATTTGTAAGAATTTATAACATCTCTATGCTTTTTTTGTCTAGGTCATCAAGGCAAAAAAGCATAGCGTAGGGCCCTGAGCTTCCAAGCTCTCTCGTTTTATTTACCATCGGATGCCTCAACAGTGATATACATAACGGGATAAGTGAAAAGGAAAAGAAAAGAAATCTATTTTTTTTAACCCAGACATCAAGCAGTAATCAAACACCAAATCGACTTCAAGCTTAGTACAAGAACGATCAAGATCATCGAGAAACTCAACGGATTCCAAAAAGGTCAAAATACTTCTTAAACGCCACTGGGTCTTTAAAAAGATCCTTGAGTTGGCACTGTACTGCAAAGCAGCAAGCCAACGAATTATGATGCGATAAATATCGCAAGTTGCACATTCAATATACAAGCCATTCGCAAAGGCTAGGTATCCTTTGTTGTCATCTCGACAGACGAATCTACAGGTACTGATACTTGAATTGTTTCATTCATATAGCTTATCCAGCCACGTCCCTCTGACGAACTGGCAACGAAAACATTTACGGGTACCTAAAAATGGTGAATGGTCTGTTTCTTGAATGCCCAACCTGCTTTATTAATTGCGTTAAAATAAAATTTAACTCTGCTGTGAAAAGTATCATTAGAGAGAAACAAAGGGATCGCTTTATTTTTCAGAGACCCATACTACGGCACTCCTTGATTAAAATCATCGTGTCTACATATGCATGGTGTACAGTCCTGGAGTGACATGTCCAGGACAGTCAGTGTGAAGTCCTGGAGTGACATGTCCAGGACAGTCAGTGTGAGGTGCTGGAGTGACATGTCCTGAGTACTGTAAATCAACAAACTTTGGCCGATCTCGAAATAAAACGTTTCGCTGTCATTAAACTTTGGGCCGATTGGGGTTTCAAAATCTAGAGAGATCTAGAGAGATCTGCTCCAAAACTAGTGCCGGGTGTCAGGCCACACACGTAGACTGACATAAGCTGCAGGACATCCATCCTAGCCACTTCTTTGGAAAATCCAGCTCAATAGCTGTTCACTGCGCCAGTGTGGTGAGCTGGTCAGAATGTAATGATTACTGGAATGACAAGAGACTATAACATACAGCAGTGTGAATGTAGCACATCATGAAGATGTGAGTACGACACATGCAGTGATGTGTAGAATGCAACATATGACAGCTAGGTGGTGTAAGAACAACGCAGGCACTATCACTACAATCTCTAAGCAGGCCCTTTCACCCTTTTGCCACATTTGCAATTTCATTTTCCCTCTTTGGGAATTTTGTGTGCAATTCTCTGGGTAGAAAGACAAAGAAATCCTAAACTGATACCCCCTTCCAGGTACTTAAAAAACAAACAAGTAATTGTACTTACCGACACAATATGGTAAGTTTTTCCAGTAACCATCTGTTCCACACGCCAGGCCGTTCTTTGCAAGGTGATGACGGTAACCAGTCTGACAGACAACATTCAGTGTCTTTTTGTCAATGGAAACGTACCCGGGTAGAGCGAGCTGCAATGGATCAACGCTGCAGTCTGCACAGGAATGATTCAAGAAACACACATACACACACACACACACACTCATGATGCTATTGTAAACAATCACATCTGCTAAATTAGGAGGAGGTTTACGCAAATGCCACCACATTGTATTTGCGTCATGCAGTAGACACAGACGTGAATGAACAATGCCATAATGTGAAGCATCAAGTGGTTGCACTCTATGTCTAGTGGAAACCTGGAAAATCTCTTTTGAGCTCACAAAATACCAGGCCATTGATCATCATTTCCCATGTCGGCAGCTCACAGCCATCTCCATGGGGTACCATTTATACCATTTACGGGTTTTTTTTTGACGTGTAGAAAATCCTCTTGTACGGGCAAAACCAAAATAGTTATTATAGATTATGTAGCTAGCATGCACAGTACTGCACAGTAACTATAATACATGTACACTAATAAAACAAGTGAAATTCAGTCCAAGCAACTTCTTAAATCTGTGTGTGGGTTTTTAATTTATTATATTTTTTAAAGCTAGTCACAAGCCTCAGGCCGCAGCTCAGCAGGCATGCCTCCGCAGGCATGCCTCCGCAGGCATGCCTCCGCAACGACAACCGCAACCGGATCTCGCTGGAGGTAGCGTGACTTGGACGATCGGGCACCACGCAAACACATGATGCTCGACCTCACCAGCGCAAAGCACAGCCGAGTGCGAATCCACGCCATGGTGGCAGAATACTGGTCGTTTCTCTTTTCAGAGATAAGAGCAGCCAAGCGCTTGTACAAAACTGTGGCGGCTTTCCCAGCACCACCACTAGCCAACATGACGACAGGCACGAAGGAGGCCCTCTCGACTTCCCGAGTCCTCTCCTCATATCTCCTCCTCTTCTCGCGTTCATGGCGGGCATACACAGCGGGGGTTCAGGCAGCACGATTCGAAGCAGCTTAGGGGTTGAAAACCCGTATATCAAACATTGTGCGTTCAAACCGGCCACCCCATAGTCCACTGGTAGCGATGTCGAGGCAAGCATTGTCCTCTATGGACGCAGATCGGAGGCTGAACTGCTCACCAGAGAGCGGTTGCAGTGGAGGTTCCACGGATACCGAGTGAGCCACCTGGCGAATGAGGTCGGCGGTGACGTCACGGATTTCATTATGTCTCAAAGACGGAAATCCACCGGTCAGGCAGGATATCGCGTGGGAGATTTCGAAGCGCGCGTTGCCACAAACGCAGGATGACGGTAAACGCTCCGCACCCAGCCATAGCGCAAACACAGAGCGTCTCGAAACCCAGGCTTAGAGAGACGAAAGCCATGGCAGGATTGAGGACGTGACGTCAGCCAAGCAGAGCTACCACACTCGGAAGCAAGCTCAAGCTGAGCCGCATGTACAGCATCTTCACCGCTCACAAATGCCTCCTTCAGCTGTTGCTGTGATGCTCGAGCAGCAGTGCGAACTTGCCGTTTAGCGGTCTTGGTAGCGTCTGCCACACCAGCTAGCGAGGGATCTGCCTAAACAATCCTTTTCCTGAGCTCATTAGTAACAGCTCGGGAGTAGGCATAGTGGCAAGATTGGGCGGTGGGAATCGAGAGACCCAAACCGCCATCCCGACAAGGGAACGAGAGCATACGCCGCTCCACACTGGACGGAGAGAAGTGACCAGTAAGGGCTGGGATGAGGCGCTCCCTGATGACGGATTCCAGACTACCAAACTCCTCAGATGATATCTCCAAGGTCCGGGACAAGAAAGACCACTTGCCTTGTAGACCATGGACAATTGCGGAGTAGGCAGCCTGGGGTTGAGTCCGGGCAAAATCGGATAGCCGAGACACCTGACGTGTCCAGTCGGTGACCTTTGACTCAACAAAACTGCTGACAATCTCTGGGATGCCCAAAGCGGCTCCCAAGTGACGACAGCCATCTTTCACGATCTGGACACCCGTGCCAGCAAAGAGTGCACTGAACTACCTCATCATATGCGCGCTCCTTCACCAGCAGCAAGGATTTGCTGGCGTTGACGGGGTACCATTTATACCATTTACGGGGTAAGTTCCCATTTATGGAGGAAGCAGAACTCAAGCTCCTAGTGGTCCAGTTCGACACACAGTAACTGCTGTCTTTGTGTAGTAGCTGGCCCTCGGAGACAATTTCACACACTCAAACAAAGCACTCACTTTGTGGTTTCACGAATACTCGTTAGGACAGAATTATTAGTTACACACTCGGCAAGTAAAGATAAGAAGTGAAAAGAACAAGAAAATAACAATGCAAGAAGACAAAACACGCGGCGAACGGCAGCCATGTTTTTAGGTCATCAACCAATCAGTAATTTATATAAACCGGTTGCCGACGAAATTCTAGAATATTCCAGAGCTGTGCTCTGTGATTGGTTAATTATGCCAATGTTCTAGAACAATAACACTAGCAGCAGTCATACGGGTAAATACGGGTTTAGCCATACACGACTCATACATTACTCACGAGCGACTCACGGAAAGGGTAACAACATGCAGATACAAAATACGCAAGGAGAGAAAATGTAACTAACTGCCCATCTTGGGGTTTGAACCTAGGAATCTGTATCAACACAAGCTCTACAAATAAATACTCTTTTACTGCGAAAAATATACTTTCTATCAAAATGCAACTCCTACACTACTCCCCCCTACGAAAATAAATCGTCCCCGATTTCAAGTGAATACATCAACACAACACACACCAAATTCAAAGCAACACAGCATATACCAAATTAAATACGAAGAAAATAGGACACACATTCTCACGCACGTACGCACTCGCAATCATGCCGGCACACATGCGCACACGGGCATGCACAGTCATACATGGACTGTCTCACATGGGCTTGACCCACATACACTACACCACATACAATACACCACATTCACTCACCTATTCATTGACACACATACACTCTCTCACACACACACACACACTCACACACACACACACACACACACACACACACACACACACACACACACACACACACACACACACACACACACTTAGAAATCTGTACAAAATGAACTGCCTAATGTATTATCGCAATCCAAGTCCATAGCATCCTAAATTAAACTGGAGTCACCCAGAGCGGACAGTCAGTGTACCAGTTACATATTGTAGTCACGGTGCCAGGCAGGCGGACCAGCATTTCTGCGCAAATGGTCACGTGGGCCTGGTACATTAACGGGCTGAGGCTGTACTGGTGGCACAACAGGCGCAGGAGCAGCCTGAGCAAATTCAGCGTCATCACAGTCTGGCCAAATAAACTCAGTACTTAGCGGCGGCAAAGCAGCGGGCGGTGGTGCACTCATGGATTGAGGTGGAGGCGGCAACATACTTGGAGCACGCTGACAGGGCTTCAGGCGATTGTAATGCACCCGCTTGTGTTTGCGTAGGTCGGCGGCCAACACAATCTCGACGACTGGACCAGCCAGCGATCGGACCACGTATGGGCCAGTCCACGGGTTGTGTAATTTTCGGCTTTCACCCGGCTTCACAGCGGTATCCAACAGCCACACATACTGTCCAGGTTGTAGAGACGAACCATGGACACGTCGGTCATAGTAGTCTTTCATCCGTCTATGGGCCACGGCGTCGGTCGCACGGGCACGGGCATAAGTACTCTGGAGGACTGACTGAACACGCTGCACATACTCATGTGTCGAGACATCCTGGTACTCCGGTGGCAACCCATAAATAATATCCGCCGGCAAACGGAGCTCACGCCCAAACATTAGGCGTGCAGGTGTTTCACCGGTTGACTTCTGGACCGCCGTCCTGTACGCCAGTAAACATAGAGGCACATGCAGGTCCCAGGATTCAGGGTGGCCACGGGCATACAGTCGGAGCGTGGTGATCAGCGTGCGGTTCATGCGCTCGACTAAACCATCACCAGCAGGGTGGTATGGTGTAGTCCGTGACTTCCGAACCTGCAACAGGGAGTGTTGTAATTCAACGTTCTGCACACGATAGGAACTAAGGCACTCACAAAACACAACGGGTAATAGGTTTATCCATTACTTTACCATAGTATAGTAGAAGACTGGAGAGTCCTTAGACTCGAGCGGAATGAATGAAAATGATAGCAAGCTCAGGTTATATGCGCTCCAAGCGTTTGGTGCAACCGGATGCAAAGTTAGCGTACAGCGCATGCGGACTTTAGATCTCTAGATGTACGCTACAGAGTGGCGTGCAGTTTTAGAGCAGCGAGCACAATTTTATTCTAGAGATGTACACAGAGCGCATGCGTCAAATTCAGTTTGGGGAAGGTTGCGTGTGAGCAACATGCAAATAAATTATGGGCGAAGACTTTGTAAACAACAGCCTTCGCTTGCAGCAAGAAGATAACTAATGTTTGTAAACATGAAGTATTATCATACCTTGCAAGAAAGGTGTCTCGGAGTGACCTAGACCTGGAGAAGTCAGGTACGTGATTTATGTATTTGCACAACATATTACTATCGTGAATATTTGAAGTATGCTCGAGAATTATTGAAATGTCTAACTATAACATTCCCTTCCCCTTCACAAAATAAAATGAAGCCTGAAAGTAAAGACGAAATCTATAAACATGAGCCCGAAACCCCGTCCAGTTACTTGCCGAAAGACGGGTTCTCAATTAAGCGCTCTGGTGGTCTAGAGACCCGAGTAGAACGTCGCAAAGAGACTGCTGGACTGGGTGTGTCTGGTTCAGAATCTATTGCTGTGCTTGCATCTGCAGACTCATTGTAGGTAACAGTACTAGAAGCGGGAAACGTAGCAGCTGTAACAGTAGGAGCGTTCTCAGAGCTATCCTCTGGAGTAATCAAATTATCAGGTATGGAGGGCAATGGACACTTACGAGCCGAATCAGCACTGTCGGCTGTATCACCGGCGGGATCTCGTAACCGTAAATGCTCAATATGGACATGACGGATGGTGGTACCACTCTCAACAGAGTAGGTCAGTGGTCCCAGTCTGGCTGCAATAACCGCTGGTGTCCATTTGTCATGGCGAACATCCTTGACCCAGACGCTGTCACCTGGCAGGAAAGCTCGCATAGCTGGCGCAGAGTCTTGCTTGGCCTGCATGTGCGTTGCAAAACTAGGATAGAGAAATGAGAAACGTGTGACGGGGACGAACTTCATAATTATGCTAGCTGGTGACGCGTGAGAGACAGAATGTGGTGTGTTTCTATACGAAAACAGGAATTGCGAAACAGCATCTTGAGGAGAATCATCTGATTTTGCAAGATGTTTCTTAAGTTCTTGTACTAGACGCTCCACCTGTCCATTGCTAGCAGGATGGTACGGAGGGGTTCTTTTATGCCGAATACCATTTTTCTGACAAAAGGTGGCAAATTCCATGGACGTAAACTGCGGACCATTGTCCGATACTAACATCAGCGGGATTCCGCAATAGCTAATGAACCGTTTCAAGCATGATAATGTCCGCTCAGTAGTAGTAGATTTGCCCATAACAAATACATCTGCCCACTTGGAGTACGCATCAATTATTAACAAGTAGTGCTGACCTTTGTATTCAGCGAAATCAAGATGAACCCTCTCAAATGGCCGGTTCGGGTAGACCCAGTGGTGAATGGGTGCCTTCGTTGGTGCTCGAGCCTGCTGTTGGCATAGACGACAATTCGCAGCAAGTTCAACTATGTCTTGGTCTAAGTGAGGCCACCAGAAGAAGGATCTAGCCACAGCTTTCATGCGAGATACGCCAAGATGATCAACATGCAACTCATGCAACAGACTGGAACGAAATACCAAGGGAATCACAACCCGCAAACCCCAGGTGATACATCCCTGCTCAACAGATAGCTGGTCTCGAATACGATAGTACGAGGAAAGACTGTCTGGGACACTGCTAGGCCAGCCATGTGTGATGTGGTGCATGACCTTACGTAGAGTGGGGTCAGCTGAAGTTGCCTTGCTAACATCGGTAGCGGATAATGGCAGATCATGACAAGGATCAACATTGACAGACTTAATGTAATCCGTGAGCTGTTGTTCCTGAAGCACAGAAAGCTGAACGGGCAAACGCGATAGACAGTCAGCAACAACATTATCAGTACCATTGATATGCTGAATGGAATATTGATACTCGGACAAAATAACAGCCCAACGTTGTAGACGTGCTGTAGTGACAGACGGAAGTTGATCGTGTTCACCAAAGATCTTCAATAACGGTTTGTGATCGGTGCGAAGGGTGAAGTGTCGTCCACACAGATACTGTTTAAGACGCTTCACGGCAAATACAATGGCAAGAGCTTCTCTCTCAATTTGCGCATAATTTCTTTCAGCAGCAGCCAAAGAACGAGATACATAAGTAACAGGACGCAAATAACCTACTTTGTCTGGTTGTAGTAGGCAGGCACCGATTCCCGTGGGAGACGCGTCGCACTCCAAGATGAGTGGTTTCTTGGGATCATAGTGAGCCAGTACGTTTGACGATGCTAAGATCTCCTTGCACTGGATGAACGCATGTTGACACTCGGGAGTCCAGTTCCATTCTGTACCCTTCTGAAGAAGACGGTTCAAGGGATACAACAACTGCGAAGCATTAGGGATAAATCGACCATAAAAGTTGACCAGCCCCAAGAAGGAGTGTAGTTCTGACGAGTTAGTGGGCTGTGGTGCTTTGGCTATAGCAGATACTTTGCTAGGATCAGCATGCAGCCCCTTGCTTGATACAATGAAGCCTAGATACTTGACACTCTCCTGGTTCAGCTCACACTTTGCTTTCTTCAGCTGTAATCCTGCCTTCTCAAATCTGTCTAGAACTTGACGCAACCGGGTATCATGCTCTGCTTGGTTGGTTCCCGTGATTAAGATGTCATCAAAGTACACGATGACCCCATCGATGCCAGCTAAGATCTGCTCTATAGTCTTTTGCCAGATTGATGGTGCTGAGGAAACGCCAAAGGGCAATCTCGTGAAAGCAAATAACCCTCGATGGGTTGCAATGACGCACAGTTTCTGACTGTCTTCGGACAATGGCAACTGAGTGTATGCTTGGCTGAGATCAACTTTTGAGAAAACAGAGGCCCCTGCAATGCTGGACAATAAATCACTGGGATTTGGAATAGGGTGTATGTTGCTTTCAATATGCTGGTTGATGGTGACTTTAAAGTCTGCACAGAGTCGTATAGAACCATCGGCTTTCTTCACAACAACAATAGGAGAAGCCCACTCTGAAGATTCTACCGGAACTAGAACACCCTCCTTAATCAAGCGATCTAATTCAACATCAACTTGCGGTTTCATGGCGTATGGCAACGGTCGAGCTGAGTAACACTTGGGAATTGCCCCGCTGGCAATGTGGATCACCGCCTCCGAGTCATGGATCTTGCCCAGACCACCTTCAAAAACGCTTGGGAACTCGTCTAATACAGACTCAGAATCAGACGTACGTGGAGCAGAAGAGACAGAACAGATGGTATGCCAATCCAAACGTATGTTAGACAACCAATTGCGGCCGAACAACGGGGTGGTGCCCTCTTTGACCACAAGAATCTTCTCCTGGACATGTTGCGACTGGTACTGTACATCGACACAGGCCTCCCCCACAACAGTTAAAGGTGCCCCCGAGAAAGTACAGAGTGCAGTCTTGGTGGCATTCAGTTTGACATCTCCCCACAACTGTTTCCAAAGAGCTTCAGGAATGATCGATAACTGTGCCCCTGTGTCAAGTTCCATGTTGAGGGGTTTCCCGTTTACATGTACATCAACTCGGAATTTGCCAGTGTGACTGTGCTGGGACCCAATATTGGCAATCATGAAATCTGAGCTTAGAGCTTCATCACATTGGTCAGGCAGTGAGACATGGTGAGTACCAGCATCCCTAGGTTGGGCATGCGATGATCTACTTGCATTACTACTACTAGTACCACCTTGAGATCTACAACAAACAGCATAGTGTCCAACCTTACTACACGTGTTGCATCGGCGGCGGCGTGCTGGGCAATCGTCAGCTGACGACGCGTGACCCACCCTGTTGCATCGCGTACATGGGGATGTTGACGATGTCGTAGAGCGTACGGCGTCGACGCTGCTCGGGCTGGCACTGACGCTTGACGCTGCCGTAGCCATAGATCTTACTTGAATGCCTGACGATTCTCGCACGCGAAACTTTTCCAGCAGCACCTGTAGGGTAAGGTTACTCTTGGACAGAAGAGAGCGTTGCAGATCGACGTCAATACAAGTGGCAATCATCTGATCACGAATATGCTCGTCATCTGCAGCAAATGCACAAAGTTTGGCCTGCGTACGGAGTCTGGTGCAGAATTGTGTGGCATTCTCTCCTACATTGGGTGACATCTGTCTGAAAACGTGCCGCTCAAAAGTTGGATTGACTGTATATGCGAAATGCTCATCAAGCATTCTTACCGCTTGTTTGAAAGCATTGTCATCCCCTGGTCTATCTGCCTGCGCAACCGGGTCTTCGAGATCTTCAAAGATCTCCTGAATCTGTAGGCCAGCCTTGTGCAACAGCATGCTGCGCTGGCGATCTGGGTCGGTGATGTCCTTGGCTTCGATGAAGTACTGGAAAGCCCGCCGCCATTTCTTCCAACGCTGTTGGACCTCACTTGCGTGCCCACTGATAAGGAACTGGTCGATGGAGTCCTTGGACATGGTTCGGAAATTTCGTCGCCAATGTTGTAATTCAACGTTCTGCACACGATAGGAACTAAGGCACTCACAAAACACAACGGGTAATAGGTTTATCCATTACTTTACCATAGTATAGTAGAAGACTGGAGAGTCCTTAGACTCGAGCGGAATGAATGAAAATGATAGCAAGCTCAGGTTATATGCGCTCCAAGCGTTTGGTGCAACCGGATGCAAAGTTAGCGTACAGCGCATGCGGACTTTAGATCTCTAGATGTACGCTACAGAGTGGCGTGCAGTTTTAGAGCAGCGAGCACAATTTTATTCTAGAGATGTACACAGAGCGCATGCGTCAAATTCAGTTTGGGGAAGGTTGCGTGTGAGCAACATGCAAATAAATTATGGGCGAAGACTTTGTAAACAACAGCCTTCGCTTGCAGCAAGAAGATAACTAATGTTTGTAAACATGAAGTATTATCATACCTTGCAAGAAAGGTGTCTCGGAGTGACCTAGACCTGGAGAAGTCAGGTACGTGATTTATGTATTTGCACAACATATTACTATCGTGAATATTTGAAGTATGCTCGAGAATTATTGAAATGTCTAACTATAACAGGGAGCAAAGCTGCGCAAACAAAGCAGACTCAAACTGAGCGCCCTGATCGGAATGAATCCGGTCAGGAGCACCAAACCGAGAAACCCAACCATTAACAAATGCATGTGCAACAGTTCTAGCTGTGATGTCAGGTAGAGGATAGGCCTCAGGCCACCGAGTGAAATAGTCCACACAGACGAGTAGGTAACGGTTGCGGGACTGAGTTACAGGAAAGGGACCAACAAGATCCATGGCAACAAGGTCACCCGGATACCCACCCAACATCGGTACGAGCGGGGCGACAGGCTGGCGACTAGACTTGCCTGCAGCACACACCTGGCAACACTGTACAAACAAACGAACAGAGCTCGACATGCCAGGCCAGAAGAAATGACGCCGACACTTAGCTAGGGTCTTGTCATAGCCAAAGTGGCCACCAGCCGGTACACTGTGTACCATCTCGAGACACTCGGTCTGCAGGGAGAAGGGTACAACAAATTGCAGAACACCATCAACAGAGCGATACAGAACACCTTCTAAGATAACTAAAGAGGACAGTTCAGACGCATAGCGACGGACAGCACGGCTTGTACCCTGGAGGTCACCTGGAGGATGGAAAACACGCTGTACATCATCAAACCAGGACAACACAACAACAAGATCAGGGTCAGACATTTGACACAAACGTAACGCAGCAGGCGATTCCCGCGGCAGCCACGAGGAAGAAGAAGAAGAAGTGCTAGCTGGACCGGCAACCTGCGGAGGAAGAGGCAGCACATCGGGAGCCGGAGTCACACAAGATACGGAAGGGGTGACGAAACGCGAAAGAGTGTCAGCGTTCTGGTGTAAACGACCAGGACGGTGCAGAATAACGTAGCGGAAGTCCGCCAAGGTCTCAAGCCAACGAGCCTTGCGTCCAGTCGGTTCTGGAATGCTGTGAAGCCACTTCAACGCCTGATGGTCCGTGCGGACAAAGAACTGAGCACCCAACAAATAGTGGCGGAAGTGTGAGGCAAAGGTAACAACAGCAAGGAGTTCTCTCTCGGTGACACTATAATTCCGCTGGGCCTTGTTGAAACTCTTACTTGCGTACGCAATTACACGTTCTTGCCCTTCCTGTTGTTGGCTAAGGACCGCACCCATACCGCTAGCACTAGCATCCGTGTCCAAGACAAAACTCGCCGCCCCTGGACGGAAATCAGGAAACGCAAGGATTGGCGCAGAGCACATCGTCTCCCGCAGAACTCGAAAGGCAGTGTCACAATCGGCAGACCAGACATACGGCACACCCTTCTTCGTTAAGGCCGTGAGCGGAGCAACAATGTTGGCATAGCTGGGAACAAACTTCCTGTAATAGCCCGTGAATCCAAGGAACTCCCGGACCTCGGACACAGACTTGGGCGGAGACCACTTTTTCAAGGCAGCTATCTTAGATTCGGAGGTGTGAATTCCACGTGCACTCACATCTACGCCCAGAAACTTAGTTCTACGGGACAGAAAGACACATTTACTTAAGCGTAACTTCAAGTTGTTAGCGCGCAACCGAGAGAATACAGTGTTCAGGCGAGACAAAGAAGAGGACACAGAAGACGACGCGACAGCCATATCGTCAAAGAAGACCCGTGTGACGGGACCATCGGAAGCATGTGTCAAATCACCAAACAATCTATCCATGACCCGTTGGAAGGTGGCGGGACCATTACAACACCCCATCGGGAGTACATTGAATTCATACAAACCCAAAGGAGTCGTGAAGGCCGTCTTGGGCTTATCCGTTGGGTCCATGGCAAGTTGCCAGTAGCCAGTCGCTAGATCCAAAGTGCTGAACAGGGAACACCCAGCAAGAGAATCAAGAGTTTCGGCAATATTAGGGAGTGGATAAGCATCGGGAACGGTGACACTATTGAGTTTCCTGTAATCAATGCATAGACGAAACGAGTCATCCGGCTTCTTTACAAGAACAATAGGGGCAGCCCATGGACTAGATGATTCCGAAATAATGCCCCGCTCCAGTAAGTCATCTAGCAAGCTCTGCAAGGCAGGGCGAGTGTGAAATGGGAGTCGCCGAACGGACTGCTTAATAGGGCGGGCATCCCCTGTCTCAATAATGTGTGGATAAATATCACAATAACCCGCGTCAGTCGGCTGCAAAGAGAACACATCATGGTACTCGTGAAGGAGGGAACGGAGCTGATCATACACATCGGCAGACAAATGCGAACAATGGGAAACAAGGTAATCGTCAATGGCCTTCAAACGGCTGGGGACATCGGTGGTGGTAGCCGAGCAAACAGTTTCAGCATCAAGTTCAACCTCGCTAAAGGACGCTACCGAGCCCACACTTGTACCGGGATAGAGGACAACAGCGGTGTCACTACTATTAATAAAGGACATGACGACATGATCAGATCTTACCAGAGAGGAGCCAACCTGGACTGCAGGGTGTTTCTGGCAGAAAGAGTCGAGCGGAGTCACTAGCAGACTATCCTGGGATACAGACTCAGACAACGAGCAAGAGGCAAACACAACATGGTTAGTAGGCAATTCCAGACGGTCGATAAGGCATACACGAGTAGTTCGGACACTAGTGTCAGACGCACACTGAGTAGAACTATCAGAAGCACACGGAGTAGGACTATCAGAAGCACACGGAGTAGGACTATCAGAAGCAGACACACATGGAGTAGAACTAGCAGACACACACGGAGTAGAACTGGCACTAGCAGAAGCACACGGAGTAGAACTAGTAGACACACACGGAGTAGGACTAGCACTAGCAGAAGCACACGGAGTAGAACTAGTAGACACACACGGAGTAAGACTATCTGACGCAGACGCACACGGAGCATCATCAGAAATACACAAATCAGAACTAGCAGCACTCTGCTGATCAACAACACACGCAGGCTGATTGACAGATAGACCAACAGTGGTAGTACCAACATGCATCACACGGCGGGACAGATCAAGCGTGCACCCAGAAGCAGTGAGAACATCAGACCCAAGGATGAGGTCATGTGTAACACCATCGACAACAATAAATGCATGATTTGTACAAAACGACCCAATACGAAATTTCAACGAAACAACACCACAAGTACTTAGGGACTGACCCGTTACACCAGTGAGGAGAGGACGAACACTATCCTGCTGGAGTGTTGAGATGTCAACGTCGAAGCTGCGTAGCAAACGTAGGCTGATGAGGGAGACACCTGCACCAGTATCCACGAGTGCTGTGACAAAACGACCAAACAACTCGACAACAACACCAAGAGACGGAAACACAGAACATAAGGACACAGAAGGACACAGAATGCTCGGCTTACTAAAACTAGCTGGAGGGACTGACTCTTGCCGAGCAGGGCCAGCCTCAGCTAGTTTCCCTGCGATCGTCGTTGTGGGCCATTTCGTCTCCGTGCACCCTCTGGGTAGTTTGGGCAGGCGCGCACCAGATGCCCCGTCTGGCCACAGTTGAAACAACGGCGCACCTGCTGCGCACCCTGAGAACTGTCGCTCCAACCACGGCCGCCGCTCGCGTGTGCTGATGGAGGAAGACTACCTGGAGATTGAGAGCTCAAAGAAAGCGAAATGGAATCTAGCCTTTGCAAAATCTTGTCCAACACAAACATCTGATCATAATTACCACCTGAGGCTGACGTCATACCGGTAGTGGAAGCTGATGGAGCAGGCGGGAGTGCAGGGCTTGACCCGCGGACGGCGAATATGGCCGCAGGTGTCGGCGACGCACCCGCGATCGCGGCACCGTTCGACCGACGCTGCTCTGCGTCGAATATGGCCGCCATTTCCAGAGCCCTTTGCACAGCTTGTGCCAAATTATTCGGGCTGGCACTTCGAACATGAAGGCGAAGCTCTGGAGAAGGGAGGCCATCGATAAACTGATTCACCAGTAAACGTTGGAAGAGGTCCGTGTTTTCCTGGCCTGGGTAGGCCCTTGACGCTAATTTCTGCAACGCAGACGCAAACTCCACCGGACTCTCAATTGTTTTCATTGTTCTTGCCCGAAACTCGGCCTCGAACGACGGGCGATGCTGCGGAGGGTTGAAGTACGCAGTGAGACGATCGCACAGCTCATCGTAGGCATCATTCGGGTGCTGAGCCCGGAATGTCTGGTAGACATGAAACGCCCCCTCGCGGAGACGACAGGGCAGGAAATCCAGGCGTTGATCATCCGCATATCCGTTTGCCTGACAGGCGACGTTGAATTGGCCCATAAATGTCAGCCAGTCTTCGCTGCTTGTTCCAGTAAACTCAGGTGGTAAGATGACTGGGCGTCCTAAAGCCGCCGGGCGGGCCGGAGCTGCTGCTGCTGCTGCTCCTGCTTGAGGCTGCGCCATCTGAACAGGTAAATGCACGGGTTGAACTGAACACTACGAATATACACACTATTATAGTTTACCGCTGCCACCA